AATCACCTTTTCTTCCGTTAAAGCGTTGAAACATTCAGAGAGTGGATTCATCAGAAAACATGACATTTCCAAGTAAGCTCTTTCCTATTGAAGCGTCAATCCCACAGCAGGACATCAATTTCAGAGATGCTCCTGGTACTGCTGGACTTTCTGGGGCACCCATGAAGTTCTTCCAAGGTGTACAGCGGGACTCCCAGAAATTCTTCATAAAGGGACCAGATGGGACCAGTGAAGATTTATGGTGGTGGCCATGCTCCCCCATTGCCACTCCTTGGAGGTGCCACTGGGAGTGTATGCAAGGCTCCATCATTACTACAGAGGAAGCAAATGTTGCGATGAATATTTGTGTCATTCTTTAATGTTCTGACCACAGCTGAAGATGTGTTTTCAATCCAAAGCACTGCTGTCCCAGCTACCGGTGTTCCTTTAATCCTTTAATCAAAAATCATGTTGCATCTGTTTCTCCTGCTCTTATATTATGAGCTCTGATGGCACAACTTTGATAATCTCCAGCTGAGGTAACTAAGATGAGATGAAAAGACATAAATGAAGACCTATGGAGAAACATCATCTGTCATCATGACATACGGGTGAGGGAGAGTGTTCACAGCCTTGTGTGAGTCAGAGGAACGCGCTTCTGACAGAATGCTTTAGTTTTAACACGTTATTCTCTCATGTTGAATGGTTCTCTGGTTTTGGGAGGAGCTAACTGATCAGAGATCTGCAGCCGTTCTCTAATCAGATCAGCGCAGGATGCTGCAACATGATACATCTGTCACTCAAAAGAAAGGCAACGAGATCATCTGACCGTTCCTGAGACCATTTCATTTCCTGGACAGTTCATGTGCAGCTTAACACCCTGGATCTTCTTTACCAATAACTCCTTGTTGTTTAAATCAATAAAACCCTTGTCTGCCATTCCTACCCCTTCAGTTCAACTCACACTTCAAAATAGCCAATGTCGTTTTATCAATCGCTCGTCTGTTTACTCAGTGAAATGCTGTGATTGATCTAAAAGCCTTTTGCTAAACACAAGTCAGTTCACATGAAACCTGCAGCTTTTGTTGTTTCCAACAAGGTTGCTAATTTCTTTATTTTTCTGTGGGCATTAATGATTTTTCTTTTATCTGTCTTTTTCTGGATTTATTGTTGCCTTCAGAAAACATCAATCCTACCTGGGAGGATATTGCCTCTGCTGCTCTCAGTAGTTCATCCTTTGCTGTTTTTTCCTTTTCTTTCTAATTTTCAGATGAAACTCATGCCGACATTTTAATTAGCAATTGCACTAATTAAACATGCATTGGAATAAGTGTTTGGCTTTCAAACTGACATTCTAACTGGACCTAAACTCAGATGTGAAATTGTTATAAAACACCAACCAGAAGAACAAAATGTAGCAGAAGATTTTCTCAAACAGCATCATTAATTCGACCTGTGACATGAATACTAATTGGTATTTGTTAGAAAAATCTAATTAGAAAGGTGCGTTGGAAGTGCATCAAACAATAGGACTGTGACCAGCCGAGACAAACGTCTTGCATCGTGAGAGCTGTAACTCTTCCTCACGTAGGTGATTCTCCAAATACTATTACCTAGGTTATTCTGTGCCCTCACCGACTGTGCAATATTACCCAAGAGTTCTGATTGTAAATATGTTTTTATCCCCCCATCATATCATATGCTGCTACAAACCCATATTCTTTTACACAATACTTTAATCACTTTTGTGAATCGCCTGCACCGACGGCTTAATTACTTACTCACAAGGATGCAGTCATGTATTTAATTATTGAGATATGCGATTGTTTGTTTTGCACTATCCTACATGGTACTACTGAATATCTTTTTATTTTTTGAATGAATATATTGTATATCATATTTCTATTTCACCTGTTCCTTTGTCTCTCCGACTGCTTTGAGCATGTACATGACACAAGAATTTCCCTCGGGATAAATAAAGTTGTTCTTATTCTTATTATTCTTATTCTTAAACACAGGAACGTCTTCCTGGAAGTTATGAAACTGAAGATCATGAATGATGATTAGGACAGGTTTGATCTGCTGGTTGAATTTGTTTCTGCACAAAAATAACAGAAAAACCTGCAATTTCACCACGAATCTGAGCAAACTTTGATTTTTCTGGTTGATCTAAACATAAAAAAATCCACATCCTACTTTGATGTTTTTCACTTTTTTCACAATCACATCCTTTCCCTCTAGCGTTTTTTCCTGTGCAGCTGAGAAACTGTGTGCTGGAAGCTTACGTCGCATGACCACATAGTGTCACTGTTGCATGCTTTACAAGGCAAAACACTCATTGCGGAACATTTTCCCCACCTTTTTTTTATTTTTTGACATTTTAGAGTCCTTCACACTAATCTCTGCAGCAGTTAACACCTATGAAATATTTTTAGATAAGTCTTAAGTCCAAATTGCTTCTGCATTTGAAAGGTTTTCACAGAGCAGGGTGGAGTTCAGCACATTAACCTTTCAAAGATTAAGATGATGGACATCTTGGTGCTGTATCTCAGATGTGTCGGCCTGTTGCAAAATTACATTACAGCCTTACATTACGATGAGAAGTCACGCTTCAAAGAGGAGCGATGCTTTAGTGGTTCGGAAACTGATCTGAAGTTAAACTTTTTGGCTTTTGGTTGATCTTCAGAAAAGATGACAGAACAAAATCTTAGTTTTTATGCATCAAAAGACCAAAGTTTTCACAGAACTGAGAATTTTCTCTCTTGAAGGAAGACTGTTAGCTGTAATGGGCTTGGGTGCATGGTAAACTCAGTTTTAGTCAATAATTATTTAGAAACACATATTCAGTCATTTTCCTATAACTGACTTGTGCCTTTGCAGGATCGTCATGGGGATCGGATGCTTATCTCTAGAGGTCACTGGGTGAGAGGTGCAGAATACATCACAGGACCAAACCATCATTCAAATACACACGCTGATGAATTTTGGTCCTCTTCTTACTGCAATGGAACAATAGAGCCAATTAGAAGAAAACGGAAATATAGTTCAATATTAAAGTGGACATTTACATAAAAAGTGAACAAAATGCTATTTCAATTACTAACATGCTATTTTTAAATGAAAAGGATAATAAAAAGGACACTAGAGTGGTGGGTGTGTATGGGGAGTGTGAGTGGGTGGATGACGTGCGTTCCCGTGTTTCTTTAGGTTGGATTTGTTGATGTGTGGGCATGAGGGTGGGAGAGTGTGACTGTGTTTGTTTGTGACTGTCTGTCGGGTAGGGTCTCGGACTCCTCCCCTCTCCTGGGACATTTTTGGCCTTTCCTCCCCCCCGCCACATTTCCTACTGGTTAGTGGTGCAGCTCTCATACAGATGGGTGTTGTGGCATCTGTCAGCTTGCTCCTGGTAGCTGCCGGCCTGGGCCTGGACCCTCTGTCTCAGTTGGGCCTCCACTGGGGTCTGAGGTCTGAGCTCAGCTTGCCCTGGAGTGGGTGGCTGTGGGCGGGGCCTTGCAGTTATAATCTCCTGGGACTCTGGCACAGCTGCTTACCCGGTAAGATCCTCTGTGCCTCTTGGAGGGAGGTGGTGGTTGTTCCTGCGGCGGTCTCCCTGAGGCCTTCCTACTCTAGAGGGACCTCCGGATGTCTGGGGCTTGGATCTCCTCCATCTTCTACTGGTCTGGGGGGGCAGGTCTGTGGTCCCTCACACTCACTACTGGATACTCCTGTAGAGAAACCTTACATACACAAGCGTATGTACGCACACATGTACTCACACGGTGCTCTCACAAGTATGGACTTGGACGTTTTTGATTTATTACCTAGGGCTGTGGCTGGCACTAAATGCACCATGAATTAATGGCTACTGTGTGCTTTGCAGCAAAAATTGTTACTGTTATAAATCCTCATGTTGTTTGGTGCAGTGATATTTTGGTCTGATGTAATTTAGGATGTCCCTTTCTCGCTCTCTCTTGGTACAGATGCAGATTCTTGTAAAGCCGTTATTGTTTATTATTGTGAACTCCCCCCAAACTCTCCCTGTCCTCTCCCCCTTTCTCTTTCATTTCCATTGCCGTGTCCTTCTGGATTAAAAGCAACAACAACAAAAAAATTCTAAATAATAATAATAATAATAATAAAAACTGTATTTGCACGCATGTCACCTACAATGTTTTTGTACAAATGAATGTGACTGGCGCTGTCATCGTTCTCGGGTCGAGGTGAGTCCTCCTCCTCAATTAACTATCTTTGGGGTTCTGTGTTCCACAGGTGAGGAGCGGAGGGGCACCAGCTGTGCCGAGTTAATCATTTGGAGCTCAGGTTTAAAAGGAGGATGGAGACACCACTCGAAGCCGGATGATTACTTCAGTTATGGTAACGCCTGCCACTTGTATTCGTTTGCTCCTGGTAGTTTGCTCTCGCGTGTTGGATTGTTTGGATTTTGGACCTTGGACAGTTATTTGGATTACGATTTTGAACTTGCTCCTGAAACCCGGTTCTGTTTGCCCTCCTTAGGATTTTCACCACACCTTCACTATTCAGCTAAAGAACTACGGATCTTCATTCCACGTCCCATCCTCCTCCTTAGCTCCTGGATCTCCCCTCTCTGCTGCCTCACCTCACGCCCGGCTGGGTCTCCACTCTCATCCACCTCTGCTCCCCACCACCCCACGGCTCGCTGAGCTAGGACGTTGGACTTATCGCCCACGGCATTACTCACTGGTTTTCCAGTGCTCCTTTAGTTCTCGTTTGTGAATAAAATACTTTTATTTCTTACCTTCTGACTCCCGTGCTGATTCTGCGTCTTGGGTTAAACGCCTTCCCCCAGTCATGACAGGCGCCAGTCTCTAGGAAGCTGAAAGTTTTTTATAGGCTTTAACTTCCATATTACACTCCCAGTTTCTAGTATTTGTCAAAAACCAAAACATGCTAAAAAAAATTCAACCTTCATGCAAAAGCTGCCAATCATAACCTGTTAGCTCCAAACCATGCCATAAGAACAAGAATGAACAAGTGGAAACTTTGATTGTTTGAAGTTTTTAATGCCAAAGTCAAACTTTACATGATTCCTTTTCATACCAAACCTTTCATTTGCTCCTCTTCATCTTCATCAAAGCAAATGCAATCAGTTCATTATGTAATTACAGGAAGGGAGCCGCTAAAAGAAAAATGTAAACAAAACAAAATAAGCAAGAAACAAAAAAAAAAAAAAAAAGCAAGAAACAAAAAACAAACAAAACAAAACAAAAAAGCAAGAAACAAAAAAAACAAAAACAAAAAAACAAAGAAAAAAACAACAAAAAAGCAAGAAACAAAAACAAACAAAAAAAGACAAACAAAAAAAAAAAAACAGAGCCAGTCCCCTTTATGAAGAAACAAAACAAAAGAAATAAAACATTCTTTTTTTTAAATGTTTTTTCTTTTTCTTCTCGAGTGCAGAGTTGAACCTTAAGCATGCCGTAGTCTGTTACAGTTTTCAGTAGTCTGCTCTACAGTGTAGTTTTATATGTACAAGGCGAGGACAAACACAGAGGAGAGCAGCAGGGACATGATGTCCACTCAAGTGTCTCTTTGTAAAAATGTCTTAATTAGTGGATCTGAAAGCGGACACTGTTTTCCCTCTTTGTTTTTGCAGCAGACTAAAAGATTTTCATGTTTAAACGTGCAGTATAAAAGAGAAATTCATGTACATCAAGTCCCCTTAAATCCAGATTTGAGGGTTTGAAAGGTGCCATCGTGGTCCTGCCATATAACAGCAGTTTGAAAAGATATGTGCCGCTGTAAAGAGGCGGGGCTGCTTCAAGAGTCTTTCTGAACAAAACTTCACAGGTTCTCCTTGCTCTTCTTCATGACAAAACTGTTTTTTCTTTTTCCTCCCAGAGAATGTGTCTTTGTGTCTCTCAGAGAGCAAGATGCTTCAGCAAGTCTGGCAGAAGAGAGAAATTCCACAAAGCTTACTCATTTTTTTGGTACATCCTCATTACAGTCCATCAAAAACAGAGCTCAGCGAACAGCCATGGTGAAAGATACTGGAGACTAAGGGAGTAAACACATCAGTGGGCTCAAAGCTTAGGATTGTTCACAGAGTAGTAGAGTTTAAAGTATATACAGGTTTACAAGGTGTGATTACACAAATAGAGCATCTCTCAGCCTGATTACCCCCTCTCTAAAGGTGAGGAGGCGTCATGATTACTACTTCTTTTCCTCTCATCCGTCAGCCAAGCAGCCGCAGCAGTGAGAGCAGGTTAAACACTACTGCGCACCTGAGCTGGCCGCTTGCTCGTTATTCCCACCATCCTAACAAGGACGCCTCTTTACTCGGGTCTGATTCAAAACAACCAGATGAAAACACGAGACGCGCTTGCTGGCAGTTTGCCGTGGAGTTACACTTGCCCATCCAGACGTTAATGAGATCAGTGCAGATCAAGAACGGAGACGAGAGAGGAGAAAGGAAACTCATTAAGACCGCAGGGACGACCTAACCCTATTATCCCTATCGCACCGCTGAGCCACACACGCGCACCGACGGTGGGAATTAAGATGCGTTGGCCTCGATCCACGCCCACTCCTCAGCACAATGCAGCGGAGTGTGTCTGAAGTCGTGTAGCAGTCGCTGGTGGGAAGGGCGAATGTGAAGGAGTCTTGTTATCACCGCGCTTCAGTTTGGGCGTGCTCAGGTCGGCGCTGCACGGTGAAACGAGTGGCAGCAGAACGCTAAGCTTCTGCAACAATGTGTGTGTTTTTTATTAAGTTGCAGCCTCTGGCACTCCACTGAAGCTAATTCCCCATCCTTCATCTCTGTCTCCTTTCCCTCGCGCCACTCCACTACAAACTTATCCAAATAGTCATGCTGCTCCAAAAAGCATGATGTTTTTCTTTAAAAACAAGAGCGAAAACAAGTTTGCATTATCTTTCTATCATGCAGTCTATTTTCCTTCCTTTTCTCTGAGAGATTTGAAAGATTTCATTTTTAACATACATTATGCAGAAAATCTCCTTCGCCCAACATTTCCTATGAACCCTTAAAGTGGATGTCACTGAAATTCTCTTTAATGTTGCCCTACAGATCTGTCAGAGAGGTGGGTAATTATTTAAATACATTTCATGTTTAAATGCTGGCTGGAGAAGGAGCAGGCAAAATGTTACAGCTAGTTTAATAAGGCAGCATGTCATCAAACAAAACACACACACACACACACACACACACACACACACACACACACACACACACACACACACACACACACACACACAGATGAACCGAGCATCTTAACAGGCGTTTTGAGTGTAGCTTGTGTGTATTGATGTGTGCAGAAGTTTTCATGGATGCAGGTTGTGTGCTGAGTCTCCGCTGCATGAGTTAGCGTTAACATGCTAATGTTTGTGTGTTTGCATGCTTCCAGGTGTGTGTGTGTGTGTGTGTGTGTGTGTGTGTGTGTGTGTGTGTGTGTGTAATCATATAAGCACTGTTAGTGTGTAATGATCTCTGTCTGCTCCGAAAACGATCACAGCTGCATTTATCAAATACACACATACGATATATACATACAGACTGGGTCTAAAGGGAAAATGACAAACGTACACCGCTGCACAAGGAAGAATATTCCGGCACTGGTGAAACTCAATGAGAACCTTGTAAATAGTAGTATCTTATCGCTGTATATGAGTCTTTGAGTTTGAGTCACGTTGTTTGAAGGACAAACTTCCCACGTTATGATTTAGGCATTCTCCTGAAACTGGTTAACGTTCCCCCGCCTCTGTTAGGATACAGTTAGAAAGTTTGACTGAATTAGATCCAAACTGCTCATCAGAATCCGTTTGCATCAGCAGAAAGAAACCTCAGCAGTTTTTCTTTGCAGATGATTTACCGCCGTTGCCTCAGATGCGCCCAGAGCATCTCTTTCAGTCTTCTTCACATAAATAGCTCTACGGTCAAAGGGTCGGGCATGCACTGGAGTCGATATAAAAAGAAGAAAAGATTGTTCTCCTCCATTTAGATTCACAGTCTGTGCCTGTAGGTAGCTTTTGGTAGTTGTACAAAAAAATGTTTTTCAGAAAGTACTCTCAGTCCGAGAGATCCAAAGAGCGTTGCCCAAGTTTGAGTTGCCTACGACTATTAGTCAGAATCTAAAAGTTAACAGTTTGATGATCACTTTTGGAATTCATCCTATTTGATATTTTCACATCTCCACAGGCAAACGGCCCATCATGCTGATGACTCGCCAGTTCAGTTTCAACTCTCTTTTTCCAACAAAGGAAGGAGGTGTTGGTGGATTGCTCCACCAAGGGGCCGTCACAGGTAGACCTCACGGCGTGACAAAGTCAGGCAGGACGTCGTCTTGTAGTCCCCTCCTGTTCGCGCCAGTGGTATGACCTCTGGGGGGTTCTGGCCTTCTCCTCCCTCCTCCTCCGGCTGGCGCCGCCCGAGGCTGGCCCCGCTGAAGGTGTCGTAGGAAGCTGAAGTCATTTTACGATTCAGAAGGTTGCGGTTGTGATCGCCCATGTTTCTGTTGCGGTCTCCACGACCCAGTGTGCCAAGAGGGTCTCCGTTGACTAAAGGTAACCTCTGACCTTCTCCGCTGACCACCGCGCCTGGTTCTGAGCTCCCCGCACTGCCAGCGCTCTCGCTGTCACTCTCACGGTCGTTACCACGGAGATTGTTGTTGTCATCTCCCGGGGCGAAGGTTGAGAGTCGGGGAGGGTCACTACCATGCCGCTGGCGCTGCCGTGGTGACGGGCGGACGGGCATCCAACATGTGTCCGAGTGGCCAAACTCATCACACTCTCTGGTGCACTTTCCTGTCAGAGTAACATCTGGCAGCTGTCTGGCATCTGGATACGAGAAAAAGACAAACGGGCGACAAAAACACAAAATTTATATTTTTGTTCTAATTTTGTTTACGTGTATTTTTGCAATTTTACTACTGGAACCAGAATCCCACACAGAGAACGTGAAAATGCCACAGCTAGACTCGAGTTAAAGAAAGCGCCCCCTGAGGAGATAAGCCCTAGCACAAGCTAAGCTCAAAGTCAAACGAGAGAGAAAGTAAATGACGATAAAAACAAACAGATTCGACTATTATTATTAATGGAAGGATGCTCGAAGAGAACATGAAAGAAAAAGAAAATGCTGCTGGTGCAAAATGAAAATCGCTGACGTCTAAAGAATGCTAAAACAAAGCAGCCAGCTGTGCTCAGCATTACATGAAAGGTGAAAGGTGAGGTCAAGCCCAACAAGCACTAATGCAACGGGGGAATGCAATTATTACCAATTTGAATCTTAAATTCTTCATGTGCAAGGCGGAGATCACATGTTTAAAATCTGCTGTGTCCCATGGGTGCTCACCGAAGAACTGAGCAAGGGCATCGGTGACTGAATGCTGATTTTCACCGATTCTTTAAACCAGTCTGGGTCCGACCCAAACAGCATCCTAAATAATCTCGACAAGTAATGGCACATGATTTACTTTCAGCTAGGCTCACAGGCACTAATATTATAAAAGCTCTTCACTTGACTTCCTGAACTCTTGACCTTTTCTACAAGTCAGATTAAGACCTTTGGATTTCCAGTTTGGGAACCATTGATTTAAACCACTGGGATCAACACATACAAGTAAAACCGAGTCAAGAAAAACAAAAGCTGTCAGTTAACACAAATGGTGTAAGAACGACAATGCATGCAAATTTTGACAAATGAAACATTTTAATACACATTATTGTTATTTGTTTTTCCTCATCCTTGGTGTAGCGTGAGTGTGTGTTAAAGGTCTGTGAAGCACAAAGCTTCCACTAAAGATTTCTACTGTCTCCCACTGAAGACACATGTTTTATTAGACACTGAAACAACTTGCAGGCATTTACGCCTTTTCTTTGGTTTTTATGGATTTGTCCAAAATAAACAAACATTTCTGAACAAGGCTGAAGAGAAGTCTTACTTCTTCAATAATCTTGTTATTTATCCAAAACAGGAGAAGCTAATGTGAAATGTATCTGCTGACTGTTTAAATAATTAAGTCGTACTTTTCCAGTGTTGGGCAAGTTACTTCAGAACTGTAATGCATTATTTATTACTTGTTACCCTCATTTTAAAGTAATTCATTACATTACAATATTACTGATTTTAAAATGCGAGGCATTACACTACTTTTGCATTACTTTAAGTTACTTTCACCAAAACAACTTCAATATGAATCTGGTAATCTGACGCTCAGTGAGCTCATGACATATGTGGAAGGTGATGTGGTGTCTGAGCTAGAATTGCTGTTAAAAACAGTCAGATATAATAACAGTGCTTTAAAATGATTGTTTATTAAATAAAAGCAACAACAATCTGTACTCTCAGCACGCTGCCATCTTATATTAACTGAGCAGGGAGTGAGGTGGTGGGGGCTCCAAGCCTATATTTGCCTTGGTCCCCAAATGCCTTGATACGGCCCTGGATGTGGGATTGACTTCTGGGGTGATCTGATTCTATCACAGGTATAAATATTAAATGCTTATATATTATTGCTTTTCACTGGTAAAAATGTGTTTTGGGGATAAATCTACCTACTTTTTATCTTTTCAAGCACTTTGTTTTGTTTTCTTGATTTTATTTGAATCATTTCCGGCCCTTTCTCTCTCTAACCTTCCTGCATGCTGCATGTTGTCTCCGTCTTCCAGAAAAACTGTTTCCTAGATTTCCTACTTTCTAACTAGTCAGCCAAAGGGATCTACCAAAAGCAAAAATTAATCTGCCCTGCGCTCCAGCAGCAATGAGTTGAAATCACCGGGGCACAGATTATGAACTCAGCTGAAAAGTACATGAAGTACCAGAGAATATGGGCTGATATAAACGATCGCAAACGAATGACTTTGTTTTGGTGGAGCGGTTTTGTGAAAATAACAGCGGCCGCGCGCAGGACGCAGCTGGAGTATTTGAGCCATTACCGCTGCGTCCTCTCTGCTCATAGAATGCCCACAAATCTGAGTCCATAAATGACGTCATATATGTAGATACTAGATATTTTTTCAGGCTTCCCGCAATTAGAATCTTTAGGAAACCCACATCTTGATTCTGGGTAAAAAAATGCGTTGTAATTACCGCGTTACTGACAATTGTACCGAGTAAATATTACCGTTTTCTTTCCCTGTAATGCCTTACATTACCACATTACAGCAAAAAAGCAATGCATTACAGTAATTAATTACTTTTGTACCGCGTTACTCTCAACACTGTACTTTTCTATTTACATTTACATGAGAAGTGATTACGGTACATAAGCAATACAAAGCCTTCATGCTTCTGCCTTACGTGCATGTTTCCTTCCTGCTGCTGCTGAACTCTTGAAGATGCTGAAGTTAGATTCACTCTAACACGTTTAAAACTGGCTGCACCCATATTTGGAGTGTGCACAAATATTCATCATTATGCAGCATAGCAGCATCATATCTCCCTCCTCAGCCTGCAGGATGGGTACTAATTTCATTTGCTATATTTTTTCACAAAAGGAGCATTCTTGGAAAAAACTCGCTTAAGGAGACCAAAATGCTAACAAATGTATGTGTCTGTTGAAAAGAGAAGTTCCTTCTGCTCGTGTTTGATGATTGTGTGTGTGTGTGTGCGTGTGTGTGCGTGTGTGTGTGGTAGACTTGCCTCACTGCAAAAACAAAACAAACATTACCAGAATAATGCTTTGCTGTGGTCAATAGATGTGTACTTGGGCACAGTGGACATTAGCTAATGCTGCCTTTGTGTTGAGCCTAATGCCTCTATTGATGAATTAAGTCAAGGTGCATTTCATTGTGATCATCATTGGTTTTTTGCAATCACATTTTGAGGTAATTCATTAAGCACATGAGCTCTCAGATGGAGGGCTCAGATGGAAGCCCCCCCCCCCCCCACCACCACCACCACCACACACACACACACATCACAAAGCTGGTGAAATCAGCTAAATACCCGGGCCTGCATGTGTTCACTGACCTTAAATGAGCCACTAACACAGCTTGCATAATTAAATAGGCTCACTTTTATTAAGCGGTTCATCAGTCCAGAGTACATCCGCACACAAGCTTTGTGGCCTGCCACTATTTTGACACATTCCAGTCCCTGTGACTTCCTTCCAACAGAGTCCTCCTTTGCCTTCTTATATTATAGCAGCAGTAAACAGCACCCTAACCCTAACTGGTTTCAGTGGTTTTTGAGCCAGAAATGTGAGCAACATACATTGGACAGCACTCTCTTGCCCTCTGCTGACACAAAACGGTGGCTTGGGTAGGTGTTTGTAGCTAATGTAAAGGCTAGCTGTTAGCCTCATCAGACTACCAACTCTCAAGAAGAATCTATATTTTTTAGGGCATCATGGTGGAGTATGCCAGTAAGGTGAAGTAAAGAGCTAAAACCAGAGCGAACATTGGCGTGGCCTACACTCTAACGCCGGGGACACACCGGCCGCGGAAGCGCCGCGAAAATGGGACCGCCTTCATTCGGCGCCCTTGTTAAGCTATTCTATAGACCACATGGGCCACCGAAGCGCCGCGAATCGCCTCGCGCCGCTGCTCCAGCCCGCGCCGTGCAGCGATCATTTCGGCGTCGGCTCTATTTTTTTCGCGAGCCGCGGGTGAATCGAGTCAATTCTGGCAGGAAGTCAAACCTAGACATAAGAGGCAGGCCGGTAAATTTAACAAAATAAAGCATTTCAAAATAAAATTCCACAATAGTCAAATGTGTTCGTAAACAGACACTGCAGAAAAACCACACGAACACATACACACACACACACACATCGAACTTGTGTGCATGTGTGACCACGTGAAGGGGGGTGTGGTTTTGGGTGTCTTTTCACCGGAGCAAACAGGACAGAGAGGCAGAAAGTCTGAGGCAAGCAGTTAAGATGGATGACTTTAAATTAATTATGGAAGTTGAGAAACACAAGGAGCTGTACGACCCCCGAAAAACACGATTATTTACGTACCCATGTCGGAAGAAACTGCTAGGATACAGCTGCAGAATTGGAGTGGGTTCCAAGAGATTCAACTGGCAGAAACAACTCATACCATAGGTACACACACACACACACACACACACACACACACACACACACACACACACACACACACACACACACACACACACACACACACACACACAAACGTAGAGGAAAAGAGCTGAGAAAAGGCAGAGAGGAAATGGAGGACACCAAGTGTTTAAAAGAAAAACTACAGCTGAGCCGAGGCGCGCCTCGACTGGGGCGCGTCTGATCTGAACTGAGGAGCGGCGAGCAGCGGCCGAATTTCGTGAGCGATTCGCTTCTCGGCGCTTCCGCGGTGCTTCCGTGGCCGGTGTGTCCCCGGCATCAGAATCACGGACTGATGGTGACCTGACTTTTGATACTGGACTAGTGCGTAGTTATATATTGTTTGGTATAACAGGAGGGCACTAAGTTCAACCTCTGTTCATTGCCACTGGCCTGAGAAACAGAAGACATTCTCCCGTGCCTCCAGCATATTCTTGAATGAATTTGATTAAGCTTAGACTTACATGTTGCAAAAGTAATATGATGATCTTGTAATCACATCTGCTTCTTAACTGTGACCACTGAATCCATTTACCATCTGCTATTTTGGAAATCTCCTTTTCTTAAATCTCCACCAGTATCATCAAATTTAATCACAGCATGCACGTTATCATGCATGATCGTTGTAGCCCAAAAGCTGTGTGTTCAAATCCTTCTTTCATCTGACCGTGACCAAAAACCTATTACGCTTTTAAAATTTCCTAAGCTTTCAAACACTGATGAACAAAACAAACTTTCTGGGAGCACTCTGAACACCCTGGAGGAATCCTGTTTGAACAGACACGGTCACCTCCCGTGCTGCTGCCGGGTACGACCCGCGTGCGGTGGAGAGATGAACAAAAGGATTCCTTGTTGTGACGAGGAGGCTCAAGGCCACGGGCACAAGAGTCTGTCACACATGAGCCTTTCTAAAAAAATCTCTTCACATAATACACCGAGTCCTTGACCACAAATTCTTTTGTGTGCAGGAAAAATGATAACTGCTTTACAGAGTAAAACAAGTTTCCATTATGAAAGCAGTAAAAACTCCTGAGACCTTGACAGCAAGTCAGGGTTCCACTAACAGTTTTTCTCTTGTTCACTTTGTGTGTGTGTGTGTGTGTGTGTGTGTGTGTGTGTGTGTGTGTGTGTGTGTGTGTGAGTGTGTGTGTGTGTGTGTGTGTGTGTGTGTGTGTGTGTGTCATTATAGACATCCTTAATGCTTTAGCAGTATAAGCTACATGCAGCCTTGAGAAGGGAAACACTTCAGTAATTGTATTTAATGGTTTGTGAGGTTCAGTTAACAGACTGGTTGAATATTAAACGGCATCCTATGCGGTGTACCGTTCTCCACGTGCTCCTCTTCGCCCACGCTGCCCTCCGGTGTGGTTCTCTCGTAGCCCTCCTCGGGAAGCGGCAGCACTCCGAGTCGTGGCCCAGACGAACTCTTGCTGCTCGGCGTCTCGGAATCTTCTAGGCCGCTGTCATAGCAACCGACATCCTGGGGTTGGCTCATGACCGAGAAGGTCACTCGACGAAGGGTCCCCTGCAGAAGAAAAAAAACACACAAACACAATATGGGATTAATCATCCAGGACTTCTAATCTGAGATTCTAAATCTGAGGATTAGGGTGTTGGGCAAGGTCTGCAAAGACATATTGAGATTATCTGATGGTGTTGGTCTTGATTATGGGGTTTAGCTGCTACAGTGCAGGGTAATAGTCACCAACCAATCACAGTGGTGTTTCATAGTTTTCAGTTGTCTTTTAATCCTAGTTCAGATTAATTCTGCTGGACATGTGTGGTGTTTACAAACCTTGGGCCTGCTCAGAAAGACTTCTCATCTGGACTGGTGCCCAGTGAGAACAGCTGGGTAGTGCAGAGATCAGCCTCCATTACACTTTGTGTTCTACTAAAATAAGAGGTTTTGTACTGAAATGCATGTTTTCTTTGGTAATTTCACCACAGAGCTATCAAGAAATCTGTTTATGTAAACTTTTGGAAAACTTTGAGCAAAAACGCGGATAATTTTTTTTCTTGGTTTGCATTTTCTATTAATTTAGTACACCATAAAAAACGTAACAAAACTTTATTAGTAAAAAAACGGGTTTCTGTCACGCTGAACTCTCTCAAACTGTCTGTCTTCCCTGTCCAAAATGCGTGCGTCGTTGCCTTGAGACACTGATGAATGCTGAGCCATCCTTTTGTGTGACTGCAGCTGTATTTCTCTGATGTGTGAACTGTCACGATCTGGGGATGTTTAGGACCAAAATACGCAGAAACCCAGGATGACACGAGGCAGAAGTTGAATAAAATAAATCCTTTATCTTAGGAGTAACCAAAAAATACAAAAGTAATCCAAAAGGCTGAGAGCCAAACAGTCCAAAAATCCAGATAGAGATCTGGAGATCCAAAAATGCAAGAGGCACGAGAAGACTTGACAGAATTACAACAATCAATGGACCGACAAGACACTGAGACAAGACAGGGCTTAAATACACAGGGAGGATGAGAGGGAGATGAGCTGCAGGTGTGTGGGGTGTGGGAGGAGGACCAGGTGAAGGCAATGACTAATCAGGGGAGAGACTAAGGCCCTGTCCACACGTAGCCGGGGATCTGCCAAAACGTAGATATTTTTCTACGTTTTGGCCTGTCATCCACACGAAAACGGAGTTTTTTCACACGAAAACGGAGTTTTTTCACACGAAAACGGATCTTTTTAAAAACTCCGGCCAAAGTGAAGATCTGCGTTTTCTCCGTTTTGGGTGTCTGCGTGTGGACGGACAAAACCGGAGTTTTAAGGTCCGTAAGGTCACTTTCCGCGACAAAAAATGCTGACATCACGTGTGCGACCTGTGTTTACACTAGCCGACAGTATGGATGCCCTCAGAGCTGCGCTCGCTTTATCAATTGTCCAAGCGCTTTCTGCTTGTTTGTTTTTGCAAGCGGAATTACTGCTCCTTGCGGAAGACCACAGACGAAGGACGAGGTTAAGAACGGGGAAGTACTGCCGCCTACAGGTCTGGCATGTCCTTAACAACGTATTTATCCGGGTACGTGTGGACAGAGTTTGTTTTTAAAACGAGGTGGTGTGGATGCAAGTTTTTGGAGGGGCGGATATTCGTTTTCAAAAAACCCCGGCTACGTGTGGACTAGGCCTAACTTGACCTAAGAATAAAACCTAATACAAAAGAGCAGGAAACATAACTACAACTTAAAGGGAGGGGGGAGAAAAATAATAAACACTGATGGGAAAAAACATGCTAAATCATGAAAGGTTGTAACTAAAGGAAATGACTTGAGAAACCTATGGAGATCTAGGGGCAAATGGGGAAAACCAGAAGACACATGAGGAAGACGCAGACATGACACATGAGGGTGCTAGGACACAGAAGGGAATCTAGAGAGGATGGAGAAACACCAGGAGGCACATGAAGGAAGGGGCAGACGCAGACCATGACATGAACATTTGTACACACCGTCAGTTTAATCAGGTCTTTTATTTACACACCCTTGCTAAGCACTAATGTGCACTGGTGATCACAGATCTTCCATGAGTACACTTTTATTATTTTCAAGTGAATGTGGAACAACAACAAATAAACAAAATGTTTATTACTGTTTATGGGAACTAGCAAAGCTTGAAACCAGGATTGGTTGATCCCTATGAAGATCAAAATGAACACGCGTAATGTTGTTTTGGAATTTCCTCATGTCCATGTGATCACATACAGGTGAAACTAAAAATATTGTAATATCATGGAAACGTTCATTCATAATGCAACTTAAAATGTAAAACTAGTAACTAACATATGAGAGAGACTCATTACCTGCACAGCCGGATGTTTCAGCCTTTGTTCGTTACGATAGTGATGACTGGCTTACATCTTATGAAAAAGCCAAATTCTAAATCTCAGACAATTGGAATATTGTGATAAGGTTCAATACTCTAGACTCATAGTGTCACTCTCTGATCAGCTAATGAATCAAGAACACTTGCGAAAGGGTTCCTGAGCCTTTAGATGGTCTCTCAGTCTAAGATGAATTACTGAAATAGACTTTTGCAGCCCATGAAATTTTTGAGAGTTTCACCTCAAACGTGATAAATTTATGTTGGATATTTAAAATTTAACTTTTCTATTTTGCAAGTTAACACCAAACTATTTCCTCATGCAACTCTAGAAAAAATAAACGCAGCCAGAAACCATTTTGGAGCAGATATTAATCAGTTTGTACAATTCTGCAGCAGATAGAACATACACCAGAGATGTACTACAATCTGTGGTGGCAGAGTGTCAAAACATTCTAATCCTTCATGATCTGATTTCGTCACATCACCCAGCTCTGATGCTCTGTTTCATCAAGAAGAAGAAGAAGAAAATATCATTTCTATAGCGCCTCTCAAGATAAAAATCACGAGGCGCTTCACAAAAACAAAAAATGTAAAAATATAAAAAATAATTTAGAAAATGTTTAAACATATGTTCAAAATTAGCAAAAATAGACAAGTGTGATTAAAAAAATGTAAAGAAAGAGAGAGAGTGAACAGGAAAGAGGGAAATCAGTGGATCCTGAGGAAGGTGGAATAGTTGGGGAGAGCAGAATAAAGAGAGAGAGGTGAAGAAGGTCATACAAAAGCCAGCTTGAACAAGTGAGTCTTCAGCTGCTTTTTAAAGGAGACCACTGAGTCCACTGATCTCAGGCTCAGGGGGAGAGAGTTCCAGAGTCTGAGGGCCACAGCAGCAGATGATCTGTCACCTTTGACCTTTAGCCTGGTGCTGCACAACCAGTAGGCTTTGATCACTGGACCTCAGGGACCTTCTGGGGGTGTAGGGACTAAGAAGATCACCAATGTAAGATGGTGCTTGTCCATGTAAGGCCCTATAGACCAGAACCAGGATCTTGAAGTGAACCCTGAAGTTGACTGGCAGCCAGTGAAGCTGGAGGAGAAGCGGGGTGATGTGGGTGTGTTTGGAGGACTTGGTCAGAAGCCGAGCACAGGCGTTCTGAACCACCTGTAGACGGTTCAGGGAGGTTCTGCTCAGACACGTGAAAAGAGAGTTACAGTAGTCTAAGCGTGAGGAGATGAAGGAGTGGATAACTGTCTCAAGTTATCAGGCATCAAATGCCTGTTCCTAACTTTCTTTTGCCCAGTCTGAACACGTTTAAGGATACTTGCTCAAATTTGAACTATGAGGTGTTTAAACTGACAATAAATAAATAAATAAATAGATAAATAAATAAATAAATTCCTTAAAGGATGCATTTCTGCAGCTAAGGTAGTTTTCTGTAAGAATTTCAAGTATGCCATTCAGCTGATGTGACATGCACACGCAATTCACCCCAGTCTTGTTAGCAGGGCAGCTTCAGCTTTAAGCAGAAAATAAGACTGTTGGTTTACGCTGAGAAACAAATCTGAGATGGTTAAGCGACTCTGTCTGGCCTGAAGGGATCGCTCTGTGCCGGGAAGCCTGTTTCAATGTGACACCCGTCCTATCTGCTCCCAGACTCACTTATCTGCTTACAAAAATTACAACCCTTTAAATCTAGATCTACTCCGAAACATGGAGAGAGAGTGAAGGCAACAGAGAGAAAAAGGAGATTAGGGCGGAAAAAACTTCAGCTCCGAATGTCACCCCTGGATAATCTGCAGGGAAGCTGATGGATGGCTGGTATGAAAACTCTAACTGGAGCAATTCTGCTTTTCTTCATCTCCCCACTAAGCACTGGCAGGAGAAAAACGAAACATTTGAACTTTTCGAATACTGAACATGCAAGACAAGTAGGCAACGCAGTAAAATCAAAGGCAGGAGATGGAAATTAGCTGTTCCTAATGACTTTTACATTAAACAACTGATCAGAATCTAATGGGAAAGCAGCAGTTTTTTGAATCTCAGCGGCTGCATCTCAAGTCTCGAAAGACTAACTGTAATTTTAGAGCAGCAGCTCGGATCAGTGCAACCTCTTTTCAACCTGTTCAGAAGAGGGCCAGTGGCACAGAAACAGAAGAGAGAGAGAGATTCACATTATAGAGCTGCAGAAGGCAGACGTGCAGAGTTACTATTTGCTGGTAATCAGTATGATAAAAGTAGGATCACATTACAATAGCTTTGCACATCAAAAATGTCAATAATAATAATAATAATAATAATTTCACCAGTTCTCAACTTAAAGGCTGTCAGAAGCATTTTCTTGGAATCTCAGAAGAATGACAGTTCTGTCTTTTTATGATCACAAAAAGTGTTTTTTTATGATAATAATGATGCAAATTTAGAACTTCTGCATATGCTTCAGAAGAAACGAGTGCACATATGGGACTCCATCCTTTTCATCAAAAAGACTACATCATAAAAAACGTAAGAGAGTTGACACGTTACAAGTTTTTAGGACATTCCATGAAGCAGATGTGACAAAGCAGGAAAAAAAGATATTTAACACACACACACACACACACACACACACACACACACACACACACACACACACACACACACACGCGCACACACACACACACACACACACACACACACACACACACACACACAC